CCTGCGGACACGAATGTCGTCCAAAAATCTATCATTCAAAGATACGATTTAATTTTTGCTTCTTACCATAACGGTTTCAGTTTTCCAGAAACGCATCAAAGGCCCAGGGGTTCTGTTGTGCGCAACAGAATACCTCGAGGGGTTTTCTAGTTGCTCCCAACAGAATACCTCGAAGTGTTCTGTTCGCTCCAGAACCATAAGGTCGCGTGGTGTTCTGTTGTGCAAAAGAAGATCTCGATGTCTTGGTCTTCTGGTCCGTTACAAGACTTAATTCCCAACGTTCTTCTCCATTAATGTGCGCTTTAAATGGACAGTTTTCGACATATTAATGCCCAACGTGCTGGACATTTATGTGCAACGTTCAGGTCCATTAAAGCTCAGTTAACACATAACAAATTCTCCTATAAATAGTTGGCAGGTGCTTTGCAACATAGACAGATTCACAAATGAACTCACGCACTTTTGAGCTCTCAAAAAACACTGCTAGCATTCTGAATATTTCCTTCTGTGTACATACTTGTTTCCGTTCGCTGGAACTTTTGTTTGTGTGCTCAAACAACAGTTCGTAGTCATCGTATCCTGGGAAACGATTTTTGCAACGCTCCTAGCACCGTGAGAGGCAACGAATATGTTTTAAGGACATTGTGCGTAGCACAAGCTTTGACTAATTTCTGCTCCTCTCATTTCTGTTTTCTTTAGCTATTCTATTTATTAATTAATTTTTATTAATTAATATTTTCTATGTTTTTTCGAGACACACCCAACAGTAACAACAACATCATCTCAGATTTCTGAATTGTGTTCATCTTCACTTTCAGTTTGAGAGAAGAAGGGGGGATATGCCTTCATTTAGGTAAAAGACAAGCTCATCAAACAAGATGTCTGTGGATATTGAAGAAGTTCCGTAACAGTGATATGCTTATCTATTGTTGTAACTGCTACTCTTGTTGTCTTTTCTTTTATTGAGTAGTTTGTAAGTGCTTGTTTTTGCAAAAACTTTTGGGTAGCTTAAGGTTGCAAAAGAATATCGTTGGGAAGTGCAGTTTTTGTAAAAAAAATATTCAACTATTTTCTCGATTGAATTTTTGGTAAAATTTGGTGGGAATAAACTAGACTTAATGAAGAACAAGCTCAACAATTTTATCAAAACAATTCACCTAGAAGGACCCCGAATAGCCTCGGCCTGACGGCGGTTCCCATCAGGCCAGCCTAATACGATCTGCACTCGTAATTTAATTATACTATCTCCGCCCTCCTATTATTGTCATATTGCGGTTAACGATGTTTGACCGACGATAAACCAAATGGATCACTGTCCGCATTAAAATTGTATTTAGAAGAAAAAATTACATATTCAGAAACTATATTAAAAGGTTTATAAAGTCGCAAAACTAGAATCAAATTTGATAAAAAGTCGATACAAAAAGTAAGAGGTTAAGGTCTTGTTTGGTTCAAAGGAGGGGAGGGGAGGGGAGAGTCAAGGAGGGAAGGGAAGGGAAAGGGAAGGAAGGATTTTGATAAAAATTTGAGTGGATTCCCTAAATGGGACTAAAATAGAAGATAATTGCTCAAATAGGACTTCATTTGAAACTATATTTCATAGGACTTAAAATCACCTACTTGTACAAAAATGCCCTTAATGAAACTTTTTTTAATTTATAATTTAAAAGTAAAATAGAAATTGAAGAAACCCTAAAAATTTCAACAGCAGTAAGATTGTCGCTGCTGTCGCACCATGCCCCCTGCCCCTAGCCTGCCGCCGCCATCACCGGCGGCGCCCTTGCCGGAATAGTCTATCGATTCACCCCACCCGCACCGCCTCCTTTCCAGTGTCACCATTCATCGCCGCCGGGTGGTGTTGCCCAACCAGAGCTGCAACCTGTCGCCATCACCATCCTCTGCCATCTCTGGTGCGCTGTCGCTCCACCTCCAAGCACAACCCCGTCATCACAACTTTGATGCCATACATCTGCCATTAGGTTGGTAGGTTTAGCTTTAAGGAGTATTTGAAATCTGCCAAGAACAAGGTTTTTCATATCTGCCATAAAGTTTGCAGATTTATGTTGGAAGTTTAACGCAAAAATATCATAAATTTGGCAAAAAAATGAAGTCAATAACTAAATATTCAAAAAAAAAATAAATGAAATAAGCACTTTAACTCAATCAAAAAATAAAAATAAGAAGTTATTGATTTTTTAGAGAAATCGATTTACACAAAAGCGTTTCTGCCATAATGCGATGGTCTGTGCACATATTTCTGTAATAAACTTGGCAGAATCTGAAACCATCATCTAAACTTTTGGAAAATCGGAACTTAAAAAACTAAGAAATCAGAAATCAAAAATTAGAAAATACAAAACAGAATTCCAAAAAATTGACAAAATCAATGCCAAAATCCAGAGAAACATGAGAATATGAGGAAGATCATAAAAATCAATGTCTAATCTCATTAAAATAGAGGAATATGAGAAGGAGGAGGAAGAGAAGGTGGAGCAGTAGATCGGGGAAGAAGAAGACGAAGAAGAGGAACATAAGAAGAAGAAGAAGAAGAGAAGAAGAAGAAGAAGAAGAAGAAGAAGAAGAAGAAGAAGAAGAAGAGAAGAAGAAGAAGAGAAGAAGAAGAAGATGAAACCTGCGATGGGGCGTGGTGAAGTTGGTAGTGACGGCGGCGGCGTGAGGCGGCAGAGTTAGTGGCGGCGATGGCTGCGATGCACAGGGAGAAGCTGCAGAGGGTGATGTCGATCGATTTTTGACGTAGGGAGAAAATCATCGATTTTGCGAGGAGAAAGAGAAATGAGATGGAAAAGTAAGGAATTTAGGGATTAATTAGAAGAAGGGTATTAATGGTATGGAATTTTATTATGTTTCTACCTAGGACTAATATAGTCCTATTTAAGAGATAAAAAGCTTAAGGTCCTATTAGTGAATTTTCATTATGTTTTAGTCCTACTTAGGACAAATACTATAAAAATTTGTGTTTGGTTGGAGGAAATAGGAGGAAAGGTTTAATGAAAATATTTTCACAATTTACTTTTATTTGATAGGTTATTTAAAAAAGTAGATACATGTCTAACTATTGTGAATATTACTCCTATGGTCATGAGTCATAATTTTATTTTACTTGATTTTTTACTTTTTAATTTTATAATTTTTCATTTTTCAGTTTGGAATTTTTAATTTTTAATTTTTTTTTTAATTTTTTTTATTTTTTGTTTTTAAAATTTTTAATTTTTAATTTTTAAATTTTTTAATTTTTTTTAATATTTAAATTTTTTAATCTTTAAATTTTTAAATTTTAAAGTTTTTTAATTTTTCAAAACGTTTTGTTTTTTTCCTTTTTATATTATACTTCCTCCGTCCCAGAAAATTCTTCTCACTTTGAATTGGCACGGAGATTAAGAAAGTGGAATAAAGTAGAAATTTGTGGTTGTAGTTGTGTAAGAAAAATGTGAAATGAATGTGAACCACACAAATTGTCCAAAAATGGTAAGTGAGAAGAATTTTTTGAGACGACCCAAAAAGGAAAGTGGGAAGAATTTTACGGAACGGAGGGAGTAACGTTTTGTTCATTCACGTAGGAGATGATAGTTTGTGGTTATCAACACGTTTCCTCTGAAATACCCCGATTTGGGGGGGTTTAGAACGGAGGAAGTGGAGGATTTTGAAAATCTTCCACTCCCCCCCCTTCCCCCCTATTTCCTTCAACCAAACACACACAAATCCCTCAGTTTCCTCCCCTCCCTTCCGAAAGGACCGAAACCCTCCAACCAAACATGCCCTAGTTGATTTGAGTTGACTAAGTGAATAAGAACTAAACAATAATAGGAGGACCAGCCAGTAATAATATATGTTCAACAGTTCAACTGTACGGACCATGACATTATATACTACCTCCGTTCCTATTTTATCTTCCAACCCACTTTGGCACACAATTTAAGAAAAGTGGGTATTGTGTGGTGGAGAGTTGTGCAGAGGAGAGAGAAATGTGTAAGAAATGTTGTGAATCACAAATTCTTTACCAAAAAGGGAAAGTGGAAATTTAATTGGAACGGATGAAAAAGGAAAGTTGGAAGTTTATTTAGGAACGGAGGGAGTAATGGTTAATATAATCATACTTTATAAAAAAAAATTATATCAGTAATATATATGAAAAATATTTTATTTGTTTTTCTAAAAAAATTTAGGATGTTGTGATATGTAATACTACCTCCGTCCCGCTATGATTGTCCCATTTTATCTTATCGGTCCGTTCTACTAAGATTTTTTCATACAAAATTTCGTAAAGTTTGTGTGACTCTAAATCATTCTTACTTTATCAATTTAATATCAACCACATAAAAAACTTTTTATTAATTTGCGTTTTACTCCCTCTTGTCCTCAGGGGCGGAGCCAAGGGAGGGCCACCCTGACCTTGGCCCTGCCTAAATTTAAAAACTGTTCATATTTTAAGTGTAAAAAATTTTGTGTAAATTTTTTTCCAAATATATTCTGTGTACCGGGTAAGTCCTGCCCAGTGCTCTGGCTCCGACCGTGCCTGTTCCATTGTTAGGCGGACGAAGGCAGTAATGTACATCTTCCTCACCCCACTTCAGTGGCATAACTGAAATTCTATTTGATGGGATACCTTTTTCCGTCCATAAAAATACTAGCTGTCCTCCTACATAGCCGATTCGCGGCATGACACTGCTTTCCCAAGTAAAACAGTAACGCCAGACTTTTCAGTCCCATCACACCCCGAGTCAAGCGTGCGATCCACGCTTAAATCTCGCCGTTCAACCCCTTGATCCCCGCGTTTCCCTCGGTGCGTGGAGAACACGTCTTTGACTGCGGGTGGGGAGTCCCGGGCAGGTTTAGTATCCCTTTGCCCAGCATGGTATATGCATGTATGTGTATGGTATGGTCATTCTACATGTATGGTTGCCAGCTCATAGCATACCGTACAAATCGCTAATGCATTTATTTCCATTCCATATATGCATTTATATATATGGATATTATATAAGCGACATATAGATACAACTTTTATGATACCGCTATATATGCCTTTCCCATTGCGATGTTTTGACCGGTTGGGAAAAGAGAAGGGCAGTGGCTGATATTGGAAGGGCAGTGACAGTGTGAGTGAGAGAAGAGAAAGGGACGATTAGAGAGAGAAAGTCTCAAGTCTCAAGAGGAAAGGGAAAGGTATTCTTGTTATTGATTACAGAGCCATTGATTAACATAATACGGAGTATTAATATTAATAATGATGTTGTTAAATCTCGTAAAATCTTCGATTTTTCCTACGATTCCTGTCTTGTCTCTCTTGAATCTTTTGTGTTTTATCTTGAGATTCGCACCCTTTATTTTATTGTAACGATTAGGAGAAGAAGATGAAAAGAAACCCGTTTCAGGGGTTTTGAAAAGTTTTTTTTTTTCTGTTTATCTGATCCGAAAATTTCTCTCATGTTGAAACCTCTGGATTTATGAAGGCTTTAAAGAGGGAAGAGGAAAACGAAGGGATTTTATGTCGGCAAGGTCTGGACTGGGTTCAGTATTTGGGGCTTTTTCGTTGAAGCTCTGGATTTCACTTTCTACTCTGCTTCTCAATCAAACATCTTCCCTCTGCTGTGTATTCCAGCAGAGAATCGTTTCCCTTTTCCCGTCCGTTTCGATGCGTTTGAGGACCAAAAGGTATTTTTTTTATTAATCAAAAAATAAATCACTCCTTAAACCCCAGTGTTGGTGTTTATTTTATTTTGATTTGATGTATTAAGAATTTGGTTTATGGATTTTGCAGGACTTGTTCTGGAGTCGAGATTTTTGGGGGTTATCACATAAAGCGATTCTTACATACTACTTTCTTCATAGTGCCTTAGCCGTTCTTGGTTTCCCAGACAGTTTTCTTATTGCCTTCTTCGTTTTCCAGCCGATCTTTTTTTTCATTTATAAGTATAACCCGCAACCCGTTCTTATTATAGACATATATATTAGGGTTCTTTGATTGTTTATTGTTATTCAACCAGAGAAAGTTTTGTAGCGATCGATCTTTGAGTAAAAGATGTTGTTTCCCAAGAGAAAACCCCTGTCAAACATGAAACCCCAACCGGAACCTGAACCCAGAAAGCCCATGAGGAAAATCCGGATAGTCTGTGAGGATCCGGATGCTACTGATACATCAGATGATGAGCGGTATGAGATGAAGAAACCAAAGCTCTTCATTCATGAACGTCTTGTACCCATTGATTCATTCAAAGGTCATGAACCTGACGGATCCTCTACCCAAGATAGCAGCAATGAGGCTAAAAGGAATAACCTGAAGAAGAAGAGGGTTTTGGCTGCCAAAGCCCAGGACCGGGATTGCTCATTCAACCCATCAAAACTGAGGGGCGTCCGCCAGCGAAAATGGGGCACATGGGCGGCTGAGATCCGTGACCCGTTCCAGGGGAAGAGGGTTTGGTTGGGCACATATAAATCTGCTGAAGAGGCTTCCAAAGTTTATGAGACTAAGCGTCTTGAATTCGAAGCCATGGCCAAGAAGAGCAATGTGAACCAGACTGGTTCAGTTCCGCTTATAGACACACATGCTCCTGAGGAAGACTCTGTTGGAAGCTTGGTCTCACACACCTCCTCCCCTGCCTCGTCCTTTCTTGAGATTGACTCTTCCACTTCTGCCCCTGCTTTGGAGAAGGTGGATAATAGTAGCACCATTGTTGATGAAACAGGGGACGGTCTCTCATTGGCTCAAATCGCCGAAGGGATGGATTTTGGCATGGACCTTGATATGAGTCTTGCTGTGGAAGACTATTTGACTTTTGATGATTTTGGCTTCAGTGACTTCAATATCCCGCTATGTGGGGTGGATGGGGATGATCAGATTCCCGCTACCTTGCCAGATTTTGACTTCGATTTCAACTTTGAAGACTGTAACGAAGGGTGGATGATGATGGATGAAGCTCCCCTTGTGCCCGGAACGGCTGCACTCAATGTTTCTTGCGTTTGAAGAGAAAGTTTTGCACCTACAGTTATTAGTTATTACGGAGTACTCTAATAAAATAATAGGATTTCATTGCTTTTAGTTTATTCAGGCAGAGTATCATAAGGTGGTTTAGAAAGGGAGGCTGTTGGTTTTGTTAATGTTACGTTTTAGAGTCAAGTGCTTGTTCAACTTGTTAGTCCCATTGGGTTTTTTCCGAGCTATTAGAGCCGTCCCTGGGGCTTCAAACTGTGTTCTGCTTTGCTCATTTGATTCTCCACTATCTCCTAAGTGGAAGAAATTCTGGAAGACATCAATGTTTTTGTTTTTAAAGTTGAATGAAATCTTATGTTTCATGAGTTACTGATGGATGGTTTTTCCAATTGTCTTGATGTTAGTCTGAAGGTGGGGAAAAAGATTCACCTCTAGATTTTTCTTATTATAATCATGTTCTTTGTTTGTTATCTTTTATGAGCTTCTTTTATAATACTACTCCAGAAGTCACCTACAAAAATATAAAAAGTAACGTGTCTATTGGAATAAAATGTAGTTTTTCTGTCTTAACTGGCCAGGTTATTCTAAATATGTTTAATAATATCATATGGATTGTGGTTTATCTTAATACGTACCTTGTATTTTTTAATGTGGTATGGTTTGATGTGTTTAAATGTACTCCAAAGTTTGATTCGGTCAGTGACAAATAAAATTAAATTAGGATGTTTATACTTCATTGTTTTTAGTTGTTTTTAGTCACAGATCAGACTAGACCACATTTGAATAGTTATAAAATACACAGATTAAATATTTACCAGATCAGTTCAGATTTGATCAGACCAGATCAGAGCAACTTAGACTAGACTAAACCAGATAAAAAAAAATCAGTTTAAGTAAAAAAATCCTTGGACTATTTTTAGTCCCAGACCGGACTTAAATAAGTCGGAGGAGACAAGACTTAAACAAATCAGACTAGATTAGATTTTCATAGTTAAAAAGTATAAAATATACAGAAATCAAACATTGACTAGACCAGAATAAACCATTTCAGACTAGACCTGACCAGACTTAAACAAACCTGATCAGACAAGACCAACAAATTTCAACCCATGTAAAAACATCCAAAAGAATAGAAAAATTTTGGAAATTTTTCTAAATAATTGAAAAAGATAAAATTCATTTATTTATATATTGAGAAATTTTTGTTATTTTATTCTTATAGTTTAGATAAATCTTATTGTCAGAAGAAAATACAATCGATCACATTATAAAATTATGCTCTGTTTTCATATTTTAATTCATGAAATATGAAACATAATTTCTAAAATATTGTAATAGAATATTATTTTCAGTACAGTTTTCTGAATTAAATGTCAATACTTTATGTAAGATTATTGTAAAAATATTGTCCATTTTAAACCAGATAAGTCACATAGTTCTTGTTGGTCTATTTTAAACTAGATAAGTCACATAGTTGTCTTGTTGGTCTAATCATTTATTTCTACTTTTTGTAGTACTATGAGTTTTTCAAATACTATCATTACTAGAATATAGTTAGATCTTGTCTAAATTATGCACGCTTTGCAGTTTACTGTTGTGATAACGAAAAATAGTCCTAAATGAGACTAAAACTCCCAAATAGGATTTCGAGTTTAAATTCCCTAAATGAGATTACACATTACCTTTTTACTCCTAATCTCTAAATCACCTTTTCCCCAAATCTCTCTGTATCGATCCTCAAACATACAACTCCCCTTGCGACTCAACTGCCATGGATGCAACTCAACCTACATCGATCGCAAGTTTGCAATTTGACGCCGCCCTATCATCGCAGCTGCCTGCTCGGCGTTGGGCGCCATCTTCAACAAAATCAGGTATTATTATTCTCCTCCTCCTCCTCCTTGTTCTTCTTCTTGTTCCTCTTCTTCTTCTTCTTCTTCTTCTTCTTCTTCTGTAAATGTCATCTTTCTTTTCCAAAATGCCAACATTATTTTAACATCACAGTACGCAAGATGTCATTTTTTAAAAATTGACATGTTTATTTTTTATATGACATTTAAGGATAGCTTGAAAATGACATGTTTTTCCATATGCAAATGACATGTTTTAAGAATGCCACTTAATATGCATTATGACACAATAATGACAATTTCGTATAGAAACATGACATTCTCAATATGACATTTTCAAATAATGTAATGACATAAAAGTGACATTTTGTAAAAATATCCAATAATTATGACATTCTATTATTCAAAAAGTTACATTTTATGGAATCATTAGTCAGGGCATTTTGAAATTCAAAGTAATCAAAATTGACAACAAGAAATTCAAGAAGAAGAAGAAGAAATTCATAAAATAGGAATTATGGTCCTATTTTGTGAGTTTGTTGGAGGGAGAGGTCATGCACTAACGATTGACGGTGGTTGGTGTCTCGCTGGAGGGCGGCAGCTGGAGGGCGGCGACTGGAGGTTGTGGTCTGATTGGACGGTGGTGATGGTTCTATTGCTGGATGGTGGCAGCACCATTAGAAGCAGCAATAGCGAAGCGATGGGGGCTGGTGTGAGTCGTTGGTGTGCATCAGTAGCGCGACAGGACAATAGGTCTTTTTAGTCAAGGGTAGTTTTGTCAAATTACCTCTTTGTAGTCCTATTTTTGTCAAATAAATATAGCAGTCTTATTTTTACAATTCTACCTAGTTTTAATCCTATTTAGGTAAATCTCTCTTGTAATAATATGATCAAAACTTAAAGCCTCCATTAAAAACATGTACTATTAGATTGTTTGTGAATTCTCTCTCTTTTCCTTCTGAAAATGCCTTAACTACCCTCATTATCAATACTAAAAGCCTCCATTAAAAACATGGACGAGTTGAGTCATGAGTTTCACAGCCCAACTTGTTGTGTAATACTCACTCGTATAGTGTAGTCAAACAAAGAGTATGAGAGAAATAAATGCGAAATTGAAACTAATTAACACGACTTCAAAATTTAAAATAAGCATCAAATTTCGTTACACGTTTATAAAGGATGATTAAGCTACCATTAGAAACACATAATACTACGTATCATACAATGTCAGTATGTCACTGATGTCACAAGTGCATATTAAATCACTGATGCTACGAGACTAGACGAGTCACAAGTGCATATTAAATCAACCAAATAAGTTCTCATCCAATCACATCATACTTGAAAACTTCTAACTAAAATCCAAATAAAGTAGTTTATCCGTCCATCGTGGCATCTTCCATCCTACTTTGTTAACTTTTCATTTTTTGTTGTCCTAAAAACATTTGTCACTTTTTCATTAAATTAACTATTTTGTGATTTTACTCATTTTTCTCTCTTGTGCACAAACTTCAATCGCGCAATTTTTATTTTTTATTTCTTGAATTCATAAAAAGTCCAATGGGAGAGATAGTAGTTTTTATTCTTCCGTTCAGTTAGCTTTTGTCACATGCATAGTACCCACGGGTGGAACTACACTAGAGCTTGGGGTGCTTGTGACCCTGCGGCTCTGCAGATTTCTTTTTATAATATATATAGAGAGAAATTTTCAGGTCTAGCACGTTTCTGTTCGAACGCCGTTCGAACACCGCTGTTTGGGATGGTTCTCGGTGTAATTTTTTGATGAAATTTTCTGAGAATGTTTCTCATCAAGTCTAGTTTATCCATACTAAATTTCAGCTTAAAATTCGATCGGGAAGGCAGTAAAATAATTTTTTGAAGTTAACTGCGTTTTTCTATGTATAATTTGGCGCAGTTAACTTCAACAAATTGTTTGACTGTCTTCGCGATCGAATTTTAAGCTGAAATTTGGTATGGATAAACTAGACTTGATGAGGAACATGCTCAAAATATTTCATGAAACAATTCCACCTGGAACCTCCCTAAACAGCGGTGTTCGGACGACGTTCGGACCGGGGGCTGCTGGACAGGAGAATGACTCTACATATATATTATACAGGGTGGTCGACAATCAACTTTTGAATGTAAAAACAATTTAGAACCACAATCAAATTTGATATTGATCAATGTTAATGAGGCAGACTGAAAAGAAAATGTAAGAAAATCTTAACAAAACAAAGGGAGTAATATATTTATGAGCTCGACTACTAACGTTGAAGCTTGGAGGGTTGATTACATTGAGAGGGTGTAACACTTTTGATTTAATTTAAACGGATTAATAGTACTACTTGTTGGTAGAAAATATCCGGGTAGAGAAACTAGCAGCATTTCAGTATAGTAAAAATAACGTCCAGAATACAAGGGGGTGATGGCCTATTTATAGGCATCCATCACAAGTCCAAAGTCTAACCTACGTGGGCTTGGCCCAAATACATAATACATGTCCAAGCTAATGGGCAAACCGACCCGATAAATAAGTAAATGAGCAAGGGGCGATTCCCGCTCGTGAGACTGCGTCTTGGGCCTAGTTGGGCCAAAGCTCGGGGATAATGGGCCGATGGCACAGGGCCTGGCATATTATCCCAACACGAGTCCCCCACTCCCTTAGTCGAGTAGTAGACTCGGCTAAAAGGGAGTAGTTGAGCTGCCTTGAAATCGGCCTGGTTGCCAAGCTAGCTAGCTAGTTACACAGATGATTGTTGATGATGACGATCTGCGGTGTGCCTGGAAAGGTTAGTCATGTAACCGTCTGTTGTGATCCCATAGTGTTGCGCAAGGATGAGACCCTTCTTGTCTAGGTAGCATCCTGGGGTCCTGGTTATCTGGCCAGCTGTCAGGTCTTCTTTGCTCCAACCAGGAAGACCTCTTCCTTTGTTCATGATGAGGGGATGCCTCGTTAAAACCTTACTAGGAAAAAACCCGGTGGGAAAAAATCCTAGTGAAGGAAAAGGAGTACACCGGTATCTCAAAATAAAACAGAGGAAGGTCAGTCTCGTCAGTTCTTGATTGAGCGTCTGCTTTACTGGTAAGCCGAGATATGTTCCGGGAAGGCTAGTCGCTTGTCTGCTTTCCAGTGGTGGTGGTCGAGCCAATGCATGCTCGGGAGAGACCACTCGCATAACTGTTTGTCGATGATGCCGAGCTAAGGTATGCCCATGAGAGGCTGGTCGCAAAGCTACCCGTTGATGATGCCGAGCCGAGGTATGATCGAGAGAGGGTAGTTTTATAACTATGCACATTGATCCCCGCTGCTTGTGAGAGGATATGGTTTCCTTTGCCTAGGTAGCAGTTTTAGGTCTTGTTTATCCGATTAGCCTCCCATGGTCTCGTTCTTCTTATCAGCGGCCTGGGGTCTTGTTTGTCTGATTAGCTGCAACCCAGGGTCTTGATCTGGTGGAGAGATCTCCTCTTTAAATGCACCCAAAATAGAGCTAAAGGGTAAGCTCTTAGGCCATTGTGTGCAGCTGCAACTGTCGCCATCCGTCAAGGGGATAGCAAAGACCGATC